AACAGCAGCAGCACCACCACCACCACCACCACCACAACCACTACGACTACGATCAGCAACGCCCCCACCACCAGCACGGCGACCAGCACCACCACCACCACGACGGCGACCAGGGGCAGCACGGCGACCAGCACTATCACGACAACCACTACAACTACAGCGCCAACAATAAGCAGCAGCAGCAGCACCACCACCACCACAACCACTACGACTACGACCAACAACGCTACCACCACCAGCACGGCGACCAGAGCCACCACCACCACCACCACCATGACGGCGACCAGGGGCAGCACGGCGACCAGCAGAACCACGACAACCACTACCACTACGGCGACAACAAGCAGCAGCACCCGCATCAGAAGCAGCAGCAGCAGCAGCAACAGCAGCAGCAGCAGCAGAACCACGACAACTACTACCACAACTTTGACAACACGCAGCAGCAGAACCACCACCACCACCACCACCACCACTACGACTACAACCGGCAGCGCCACCACCACCAGCACGGATACCACTACCACCACCACCACGACGGCGACCAGGGGCAGCACAGCGACCAGCAGCACCACGACAACCACTACCACAACAGCGACAACAAGCAGCAGCAGCAGCAGCAGCAGCAGCAGCAGCAGCAGCAGCAGCACCACAACCACTGCGACTACGACCAGCAGCGCCGCACCCACCAGCACGGCGACCAGCAGCAGCAGCAGCACCACCACCACCACCACCACGGCGACCAGGAGCAGCACGGCAGGGCCCGCGCGGACGCCCGCGCGGCAGGGGGCGACGGCGGCCGGCGACGGCTGGCGGCGGCGGGCCGGCGGCAGCTGCTGGGCCCGCGACGGAGGCCGCGGAGGCCGAGGAGGCGGAGGAGGAGGCGGGCGCTGGGGCGAGGAGGCGGAGGGCGGCAGCGCGGGGGCCCCGCCGCCCTTTGGCTAGGAGGGGCTCGGGGAGGCACGCCAGAGCGGGCCCCGAGTGAGGGTGGGGCTAGAACGCCCGCGACTCTCGGGGCGGCCGGGGGGGCCCAGCAGCGCAGCCGCGCCAGGAGCCAGACGAGGCGCCGCGGCCGGCGGAGCCCCGCTGCGAGGGGGCGGAGGCGGAGGCGGCGGGCTGCGGCTGGCTGGGGCCCGCCAGGGGCCGGCCGAGGCGCGAGGGGAGCGGCGCGCCGGCTGGCGGAGGCGGGGGGCGCCGAGGTGGGGCCGGGCTCGGCCGCCCGCCGGCCGGCGGGGCGGACGAGGGCGGCGGCGGCGGCGGGGGGCGGCGGGCCTGAAGCCTAGGCCGACGGCGGCGGGCGGCGGGCCACTGCAGGGGCCCCGCGCGGCGGCCTCGGCTTGGCGTGAGCCCGCGCAAGGACAAAAAAAAAAAAAAAAAAAAAAAAAAACATCAAGCCACCGCGCCATCCCGCTCCGGATCTTCGCTCTCCGCTGCTCCAAGAAACGTGGCCCATACACATCCTTCAAAATGCCATCGGTTCGCGGCACCTTCAAACGAAGCGACCCGAGAAACCCACCTCGCAATGGAAAAAGCAACGGGGGGTGAACGTTGTGGGGCTTCGTTGCCAAAGCTCGACTATCAGAATACGGCGTCGCAACATAAATTTCTATGTCTATGACGTTAACGCCGTGGGGCTCTTGGGCGAGCCGACCCTGATGGAGGGCCGCTTTCGCTGCCCCCCCTGAAGCCGCGCGGCTCAGCCTCCCCTCCTCGGCCAGAGAGTCCCGGATGGCTGCGTACTCGCTCCATGGAAGTGGGGCGCGCGGGTAAACTGGAAACTTATGAGCGTTTAAAGGTGACCGAGATGACGCGTAAGAGGGGCCCAGATCGCCGCCCAGTCCACCCCCTCTGCTAGGAACACAGCCAAGTCAATATCACAGTCCCATGCCGCCATCGCCTGGTCACGCACAGCGCCCAGGAAACTACCCCACATGAGCCCGCACTCGCCCAAGGTACCGTAAGGAATAACCACATTGCAATGAAACTGGCCCTTCCCCATTCGCCGATTCAGAAAACAAACAACATCAGCACAGGCCTGGTATAACCAATTCACAACAACAGCCTGGCTCAAAGGAATGCCCTCCTGAACGGTCGAACTGCCTACGGCCCCTCCTTGCTCGTTTGTCCTACGGTGCGTCTGAGCAACTGTCCTCCCAGATAAAACTGGCTGGCACCACGGAAAGGTAGCTGATGACGCCGCCAAGGCTCGATTGAATTCCGACTCGGCCAAGGTAGTGCGCGACCACATCACAGACACCCTTTTGGACAATGAAAGGGTAAGGGCCCTTCCATCACTGAAAGCTGCCAAAAATTTGTCTGCCTTTGCACCTGCGGCTTTGCGCATGGGGGGGCGCCTTCCAACAACGTGGCAATACTATCAACCATGGCGCCAACAACCCTGTGCAGACGCTTACCCAGCGGGGTGGACCTAGGAGGGCGGGCGCCAGACCTGTTAATGAATGTGCGCAGTTCCGTCCCCAAGGAGAGAGGCGACACATCAGCACCGGCGGGACGCTTGCGGAGCGACATGGCAACAACAAGGCGCGGCTTCGGGCAAACACGGCGACATGAGCAGAGGGGGGGGGATAAGAAGAAGGCGACACAACATGAGAACACGAATTGCGAGCAACCCGCTTGCACTGCACCCCGTCTGATCCATGCCAACGTCAGGATACTCTCTTCCACGCTCCCTTGCGCACACACACACACACACACACACACACACACACACACACACCAGAACACAACGCGAGCTGCATGATGATAAAGCTGAGGGCCGCCAGATTTGCAAGACCGCGGCGCCGTTTTGCCAAACCGTCGCTTCTTACCTCTCATTGCAAGGCGTAAAGAAGGGGCAACCAAGGGGAAAGGCAAACCATCAGAGACGCGGGCGCCAACATGCAAAAACCGCGGGCCGACAGATTTGCAAGAGCATGGCGCCGTCTTGCAAAAACGGCGTTGGAAATTCACTTCGACGTCAAAGGGAGGGCGAGGGGCAGCAAGGGAGACAGAGGCGAGAGGAGGAAAACCAAGTAGAAAGAACTTAGCAGCAGAGCTCAAGACGATGCATTCTGCTGGACAACGCCGAGCGCCAGTGGTCAGCCTCCCCTGCAGCGAAAGAGGCAAGCGCAAAGAGAAGAGAAGGGCCAGCCCCCTCCCCAGCGCGCGCGCTGATGTGCGCCGCTGGACAGCGGTCCGCCCAAACAAAGGGGATCAATCAAGGCAGGTGGCAACATTGGCGATGGCGGCACTGGCGTCGGTGGCCGACATGGGCGGCGCGCCAACCCCCGCGCGCGGCCCCACAGCAGGGGCGCCCCACGACGACACGACGCAACCACATCTGGGCGGCGGCTTGAGCCAAAATGGCTTGAGCCAAAATGGCTACGGTCAATCAGCCCTGGTCAATCATCCCGGAAAAATATAAACCCAGGTTAATATTTTTTGGGGATCGGTAGCCCCAGAACAGCATAAACCAGGGTTTCTACTGTTCCAGGGGGGGGCATTATGAACCCCAGTCAATATGTCCAGAACAGTCAAGCCCCGGTTCATAATGTTCCAGGGGGGACATTATGAACCCTGGTCGCAAACCCCGGAACATTAGAAACCCAGGTGAATATCTATGTGGGATCCATCCTGCAGCAACAGCAGCAACAACAGCAACAACAGCAACTACAACAACAACATCAACAACAAGAGCAACAGCAACAGCAACAACAACAGCAGCAACAACAGCAACAACAACAGCAACAGCAACAGCAACAGCAACAGCAACAGCAACAGCAACAGCAACAGCCACAGCAGCAACAACAACAGCAACGACAACAAAATCAAAGGCAACATCAACAGCAACAACAACACCAACACCAACAACACCAACAACACCAACAGCTCCAACCACGCCAACAACAGCAACAACAGCAACAAGAGCAACAACACCAACAACAACAACAACAACAACAACAACAACAACAACAGCAACAGCCATTTTAAGGCTGTACGCTCTTACTTGCCCGCGAGTCCTTCAACACGTATACCCTACACCCTCGAAGCCCGGCCTCTTCGTCTTCGATCACACCCCTTTCGGAGGAATTATTTCTCTTTGCTGGGGCCGGCGGGCTTCGACGTACGGGCAAACCGGAACGGGCGGACAATCCTTCGGGGGCGTACATCTCTCTGCCCGCCATTGGAATTGGCGCGGGCCCTGTAAGAGGAGGGGAAGAACGAGGGAGAGTGGGAGGAAGGGGAGGGGGAAGGACGAAGGAAGAGGGAAGATACCACGTTGTGAAGGCGTCCTTGGCGCGTGCGTTGTCCCTGAGCGCCGAAACGCAATTCCACAATAATTTGCGAGGGCGTCGCACGCGAGAGCGCAGTCCTGAGTACAGTGTGGGGAAATCCCACGGGCTCTGCTCCGGCTACAAGCCGCAGGGTTTCAGCTTGGCGCGCCAGCCGTGCCGGACCACTTCGGCGCCGTCTTCGGGAGGGCGCCAGAAGGCGGATGGAATTTTGCGGGCTTATTCGCCCCGCACGGCGACAGGCAGGGCGAGGCAGCAGAAGCGGCAGCAACAGCGCGGGAGGAGCCAGACCGATCACCAGCGCCGGCAGAAGACGCCAACATCTGCGTCGTCTGCCAGGAAGTGATCCCGCACCATGGGGCGGGCAGGGACACACCAACACAGGAGGCATGCTGTGGCGCCCACTTCCACTTGGGCTGCCGCGCCGACTTGGCCCGCCACCGTGGCGAAGCCACCACTTGCCCGCAGTGCCGAGCCAGACTCCCGACCACCGCCGAGTTACGGGCATGGTGCGCCGCGCAGGGCGTGGACATAGACCGACCGCCGCCCCCGGCCCACGACACCAGCGCCCAGGCCGTCCCAGATTACAATGGGTTTCGAAGCTACGCGCGAGGCGAAGAACCACCACCACGGGAGCCACCGCTGCTCCGAGCGCTCTGCTGCCGACGCCTCGGCCCACCGCCCGAATTCTCCGAAGTGCCAGACCGCCGCATGGAATGGTCCCCGGAGATCGCTGCACGCGACACCAACGGGATGATCACGCAGTGGCTTGAGTCATGGCTTTGCCCACGCTGCGGAGCGCGCTGCGCCGTCGACACGATCGCGCCACAGAGCGGCCAGCAGATGTGCGCGAGGTGCCTAGAGCAGGGCACGTGGACCGCGGAAGCCAGCACGGCCGAAGGCGAATGGAGATGCGCTTTGTGCGAACCAGACGCATGGACCAGAGAAGTGCCTTCTGCCCCACCACCGGCCCCGCCAGGTCCTGAGCCATCACCACCAGCCCCCCCGCCAGGGCCAGAGCGAGCCGCCGCGAGGCCGCCACAACACAGCCCTTTCGCCGGCTGGGCCCCACCGCAAGCGCCCCTCCAGGCACGCACCAACTCGGCAGTGTACGTGCCCCTGCTGCTAGCAGCCGCCGGGCTTTTAGACCCAAGCGAAGGGGCGCAGTGGAGTGAGCACCGCCTCACACAGGCCTGGTGGCAGCCGACGGTAGAGACGTTGCGGCTTGCAGAACCTGTGCTAACAGGGCCCTTTGTCCAAATGCTGGCGTACACCGACGCTCGGCCCGGGGAAGTACCAGCGGTGCTTGCTGCAGACGGAGGAGAGCGCCCAGGGCACGTATCCTTTGCGCCAGTCGCCCAGGCCGTGGCGCACAGCAGCACCGGCTACATACAGCCGCTGGTGCAAGACCTCCTCCTCGAAGCCTTCGGCGGCGGCGTGCTTGCGCGAGGAGTTGACGCACGCACAAACGAGCTGCGCAACCCAAGCTTCTGGGCAGACGCGGCGCCTCCGCCGCCGCTCCCACCGCCAGAGGCGCCCCAGGAGCCAGAGCTGCCTGGAGACCAGCACGCGAACGGCCCTGCCGCCGTGGTGGGCAGAGGCGCCCCCGGAGACAGAAACGGAAGAGGCGCCAGAGAAAGCAGACGAGGAAGAGGCGTCAGAAGAGGCCGAGGCGGCGGAGAAGGGGGAGGAGGAGGCCCGAGCAGCGGCAGCGACGGCGGAAACACGGGCGCGGAGGAGGGAGCCAACGACGGCGGCAGCAACTCCAGCACTGAGGAGACCGACCACGAGGCCGAACCAGCGCAGGCCCCAGCCCCGAGCAACGGACCCACCGAAGAGTCCTGGGCAGCTCTCGGGGGCATCGACCTCCAACAAGAGCTACGGAGATTCGTGCCGACACTACAGAACGTGCCACGTTTCCTGCGCGCGGAGACCCGGATGGCGTTCACCACGGCCCTGCAGAGGATCAAGCGAGGACACGACCAGGGCAACCAAGCAACAACCCACCAAGGATGGACACTGTTCCTCCTCGCCTCGAGGCTCCTGCTAAGCAAGCCCAAGGGTACCGACGCCGAGGGCCGACAAGAGCTCTTGGAACGCGCCCAACGGTTCCGCCAGGGCGACTGGCTGGCCCTGCTACACGAGGCCAACACCACGGCCGGCGCGCGCGCAGCGCCGAGGCCAGCCACAGAGGAGCAACAGCAGGAGAGACGCAGAGAACAGGCTTGCGCGCACGTCCGAAACGGCAACCCGTCACGGGGGAGACAGGTCTTGACCGCGGCGGCGATTGCGCCCGGCAACGGGGAGACACTAAACAGGCTGCGGGACCCGGCCCGCCGACCGCCTACCCTGAGCCGCCGACTACCCGCCAACCTCGACCGCGCAACCGACAGAGCGAGACTCGACAAGACCAAATTCCTCGCTTGCCTCCGGTCCGCCAAAAAGGGCACGGCAGCAGGACCGTCGGGGGTCCGCGTTGAGCACCTCAAGCCGCTGCTGGAACACGAAGAGTCCATGGACCTGCTTGGATTCGCCGCCGCTGCCCTCGCGGAGGCGCGGGTGCCCTCCCCGATTGCCCGCGCTCTAGCCCTCTGCAAGATGACGGCGCTCCAGAAACCAGACAACGGAGTACGGGGCATCGCCACCGGCGACGTTTTCCGCCGACTGGTCACCAGGGCGCTCGCTCAACAGTTCGCCGAGCAGTTCGCGGCCGCAACTGCGCCCTTCCAGTTCGCCCTGACGACGCGGGCAGGAACCGACTGCGCCGCCATGCTGCTGAGGTCAGTGCTGGACCACGACGACGACGCAGTGATTGTCAGCATCGATGGAGTCGGGGCTTTCGACCATGTGTCGAGGTCGGCCTTCTTCCAGGAGCTCCTTGCTCGCCCAGAGCTGGCCGGCTTAATCCCCTTCGTGAAGATGTGGTACGGGCAAGACTCCACCTACCTCTGGCAAGACGAAATGGGGACTGTGCACGACGTGCACCAGGGAGAGGGAGTGGAGCAGGGGGACGCGCTGGCCCCAGCCCTCTTCGCTCTTGCCCTGCACGGAGCGCTGGCGGGCGCCTCCAGGACCCTAGAGCAAGGGGACTTCCTAGTTGCTTTCTTGGACGACGTGTACATCAAGACCACCCGGGCCAGGGCCAGAGCCGCTTTCGACACCACCACCGGAGCAATTCACCTCCACGCAAACGTGGATTGCCACCTTGGCAAGTGCCGGGCCTACAGCAGGGGCGGAGGCGCAGCGCCGCCCGGAATAGGCGAGCTGGGACAAGACGTCTGGACGGGTGACAGAGCACCACCCGACCGAGGAATCAAGATCCTTGGCACCCCCCTAGGCACCCCAGAATTCGTCGCCGCACACCTGGAGAGCAGACTACAGGAAGAGAGGAGACTCCTGGACGAACTGGCGCACCTGCCCGACCTACAGTGCGCTTGGCTCCTCCTCCTCCTTTGCGCCTCCCCGCGGGCCAACCACCTGCTGCGAACCCTGCCGCCAGAGGAAATCGCAGAATACGCGAGAGGCCACGACGGCGACATGTGGGCCACCCTGCGCCGCCTCCTCGGGGACCCCGCAATGTCGCAAGACGAAGAGCGACGGGCGCGCGCACTGGCAGCAATGCCTGGACGACACGGAGGACTCGGGCTCCAAAGCGCCGCGCGCACGTCCCCAGCGGCCTACTGGGGCGCTTGGGCAGACGCCCTACACATGCTCCACCAACGGCGCCCCGTTGAAGCTGCAGCGATCAGAGACCTCCTCGACGGCACCAGGCCCGGCCGTAGGGGCAACCTTGCCGCAGCCGCCGCGGCCGCACAGCTGCTAGAAACCGAAGGCTTCCGGAGACCTTCCTGGACCGACCTGCTCCAGGGGCTGCGCCCAGAAGCGCCGCCGCGCTCGGAGGCCGCCGAACCGGGGGAATGGCAGCACGGCTGGCAGTTCCACGCTTGTTCCGCACGCAACACACACTACAGGGACAACGTGTTCATGCCCAGCCTCACCAGGGCCAACCAGGCCATGCTAAGGTCAGGCTCAGGACCGAGGGCCGCCTACTGGCTTCACACCTTACCCACCACCGAGGGGCACGTGTTCAAGCCCGCGCGGTTCCTGGCAGCCCTGCGCCGGCGCCTCAGGCTCCCGCTGCCGCTCCTCCCGCACACCTGCGGGGCAGCCGGCCACCCAGGCTGCCGGGCCCGGCTGGACACGCTGGGAGACCACCTAGCCGCGTGCCCACGCACGGGGCTTCTCGCCAGACGCGCGAAACCGCTCGAACGAGCTTGGGCGAGGGTCGCCAGAGAAGCAGGAGGGAGAGTTGTCCCCCAACAGCTGCTGCGGGACACTAACGCCGTTGTCCACAACCCGCTGGACCGCAGACAATTAGACCTAGTCGTCTACGGCATCTCGCCGAACGGCGTCCCGCTGTGCTGCGACAGCACCATGGTGTCCCCCCTCCGCAGGGACGGCTGGCACCGGCCGCGCACCTTCGACACCGACGGCGCCGCGCTACTTGGGGCCGAAAGGCGCAAACGACGCAGGTACCACGAACTCACGACCGGCCATTCAGGCCGCCTCATGGTCCTCTCCTGCGAGGTCGGAGGCAGGTGGGGCCGCGATTCCCTCCAGCTGGTACGCCTGCTTGCCAAGCAGAAGGCGCGGGCCGCGCCGGCCCTCCTCCACCGCTCCGCGGAGCTCGCGTACACCAACCGCTGGTGGGGGTTCCTGAGCGTCGCGGCCCAGGACTCGCTCATGGCCACCCTGACGGGCGACGGCTACCTAGCCTTGGGGGGAGCCGCCGGGGAGGACGACCCAGACCTGGCCGAAGTGCTGCTCGCAGACTCCGCCGGCCCACCCGCTAGCCGCCTGCCAGCACGCCCCTGATGCTTGGCGCCGCGGCCAGCACGGCCGCCCCGGGGGGCTCCGACGAGCGCCGGGAGCACCCCCGACACGGCAGCGGGCACCACGAGGAGGTTAGCAGTACCACCACCACCACAACGGCGACCAGCAGCACCATCGCTTCGACTGCGACCCGCAGCAGAACCACCACCAACACCGCCACCACGAGAGCGACCCGCAGCACCACCACGACCACGACCAGGAGCACCACGACTGCGACCAGCAGCACCACGACTGCGACCAGCAGCAGCACCACCACGACTACGACCAGCAGCACCACCACCACCACGACCAGCAGCACCACCAGCACCACCAGCACAAGCAGCACCACCACGACTGCGACCAGCAGTACCACCACGACTACGACCAGCACCACCACGACTGCAACCAGCAGCAGCACCACAACGACCAGCAGCACCACCACCACGACCAGCAGCACCACCAGCACCACCACGACGGCGACCAGCAGCCCCACGACTGCGACCAGCAGCGCCACGACCGCGACCAGCAGCACCACGACTGCGACCAGCAGCAGCACCACCACGACTGCGACCAGCAGCACCACCACTACGACAGCGACCCGCAGCACCACCACGACCACGACCACGACCAGCAGCACCACGACAGCGACCAGCAACACCACGACTGCAACCGGGAGCAGCAGCACCGAGACAGCGACCAGCAGCACCACCACGACCCGCACCACCAGCACAGCCAGCACTACCACGACTGCGACCAGCAGCACCACCACCACTACGACCAGCACCGCCACGACAACGACCAGCAGCACCACCAGCACCACCAGCACAAGCAGCACCACCACGACTGCGACCAGCACCACCACCACGACAGCGACCCGCAGCACCACCACGACCACGACCAGGAGCACCACGACTGCTACCAGCAGCACGACGACTGCGACAAGCAGCAGCACCACCACGACTACGACCAGTAGCAGCAGCACCACCACCACCACGACCAGCAGCACCACCAGCACCACCAGCACAAGCAGCACCACCACGACTGCGACCAGCAGCACAACCACGACTACGACCAGCACCGCCACGACTGCAACCAGCAGCAGCACCACAACGACCAGCAGCACCACCACCACGACCAGCAGCACCACCAGCACCACTACGACGGCGACCAGCAGCCCCACGACTGCGACCAGCAGCACCACGACTGCGACCAGCAGCACCACGACTGCGACCAGAAGCAGCACCACCACGACTGCGACCAGCAGCACCACCACCACGACAGCGACCCGCAGCACCACCACGACCACGACCAGCAGCACCACGACCACCACGACCAGCAGCACCACCAGCACCACTAGCACAAGCAGCACCACCACGACTGCGACCAGCAGCACCACCACGACTACGACCAGCACCGCCACGACTGCAACCAGCAGCAGCACCACCACGACCAGTAGCACCACCAGCACCACCACGACGGCGACCAGCAGCCCCACGACCGCGACCAGTACCGCCACGACTGCGACCAGCAGCAGCACCACCACGACAGCGACCCGCAGCACCACCACGACCACGACCAGGAGCACCACGGCTGCGACCAGCAGCACGACGCCTGCGACCAGCAGCATCACCACGACTACGACCAGCAGCACCACCACCACCACGACCAGCAGCACCACCAGCACCACTAGCACAAGCAGCACCACCACGACTGCGACCAGCAGCACCACCACGACTACGACCAGCACCACTACGACTGCAACCAGCAGCAGCGCCACAACGACCAGCAGCACCAGCACCACGACCAGCAGCACCACCAGCACCACCACGACGGCGACCAGCAGCCCCACGACCGCGACCAACAGCGCCACGACTGCGACCAGCAGCACCACGACTGCGACAAGCAGCACCACCACCACGACTGCGACAAGCAGCACCACCACCACGACTGCGACCCGCAGCACCACCACGACCACGACCACGACCAGCAGCACCACGACAGCGACCAGCAGCACCACGAGTGCAAGCGGGAGCAGCAGTACCGAGACTGCGACCAGCAGCACCGCCACGACCAGCACCACCAGCACAACCAGCACTACCACTACCACGACTGCGACCAGCAGCACCACCGCCACTACGACCAGCACCACCACGACTGCGACCAGCAGCAGCACCACAGAGACCAGCAGCACCACCACGACCAGCAGCACCACCAGCACCAACACGACGGCGACCAGCAGCCCCACGACTGTGACCAACAGCGCCACGACTGCGACCAGCAGCACCACGACTGCGACCAGCAGCAGCACCACCACGACAACGACCAGCAGTACCACCACTACGACAGCGACCCGCAGCACCACCACGACCACGACCAGCAACACCACGACTGCGACCAGCAGCGCCACGACCGCAACCGGGAGCAGCAGCACCGAGACAGCGACCAGCAGCACCACCACGACGAGCACCACCAGCACAACCAGCAATACCACGACTGCGACCAGCAGCACCACCACGACTACAACCAGCACCACCACGACCGCGACTAGCAGCAGCACCACCACGACCAGCAGCAGCACCACCTCGACCGCGACCAGCAGCACCACCACGACTACTACCAGAAGCACTACGACTGCCACCAACAACACCACGACCACGACCAGCAGCAGCACGACCACGACTGCCACCAGCAGCTCCACCACCACGGCCAACAGCAGCACCAGCACCACCAGCACAACCAGCACCACCACTACTACTACTAGCACCACCACGACAAGCAACACCAGCACAACCGCGACCAGCAGCACCAACACGACTGCGACCAGCAGCCCCACGACTGCGACCTGCAGCGCCACGACTGCGACCAGCCGCAGAACCACTACCAGCACCACCACCACGACTGCAACCCGCAGCACCACCACGACTGCGACCAGCAGCACCAAAACTGCAACCAGCAACACCACGACTGCGACCAACAGCAGCACCACCACGACTGCGACCAGCAGCAGCAGCACCACCACCAAGACCAGCACCACCAGCACAACCAGCACCACCTCGACTGCGACCACCAACGCCACCACGACTACGACCCGCAGCACCACGACTGCGACCAGCAGCAGCACTACCACGACCGCAACCAGCAGCAGCACCACCAACACGACCACGACCAGCAGCAGCACCACCACGACTGCGACCAGCACCAATTCCGACCGGCAACACGACCCCCAGCAACGACGGGCACCACCTGCAACGACCAGCAGCAACGACGCGCACCTGCACGACGGCGCGCACCGACGACGCCCACCGCCCCTTCCCCTCGCCTTTCCCTCGGCCTCTGTCCCCTCGTCTCGGTCCCGTCTCGTTCGCCCCCTGCCCCCGCGTCGTTCGCCCCTCGCCGTTCGGGCCCGGCTCGTGCCCCTCGCCCCCTCGTCCTCCGTCCCCCGCCCGCCCCACCCCCGCCTGGAGTCCAGACCCACCCGCGCCTGCGAGACAAGGCAGCAGTGGCAGCAGGCTGTGGCGCTGCTGATTCCCAAACTGGGGCCCAACGTCATCAGTTGCATCGCTGGGGCCAGCGCACGTGCGAAAAATGGGCAGCGGCAGTGGCAGCGAGCCAGGGAGGAGAGCGAGGCGGCAGAGGAGGAAATAGAAGAGGAGGAGAAGGCAGCGGACGAGCAGGACCAGGTCGAGGAGGAGGAGGAGGCGAAGATAACCGCGCTCGACGTCAGCAGGCAGTGGCAGCGAGCCAGGGAGTCAGGACGTGGAGGGGGAGGAGGAAGACGGGAGGTGATGGCGGAGCCAAGAGTCATCAGCTACAGCTCTGGGATCAGCGCGCGCGCGAGAGGCGAGCAGCGGCAGCGGGCTCTACCACTGCTCAGCGGGATGCGGGAAGTGAGGTTGGAGCCGAATGGCATCAGATACAGCCCTGGGATCAGCGCGTATGCGAACGTCGAGCAGTGGCAGCAGGCTCTCCCACTGCTCAGCGAGATGTGGGACGCGAAGGTGGAGCCAAGCGTCATCAGCTACAGCTCTGGGATCAGCGCGTGCGCGAAAGGCGAGCAGTGGCAGCGGGCTCTATCGCTGCTCTGCGAGATGTGGGAAGTGAGGTTGGAGCCAGATGCCATCAGCTACAACTCTGGGATCAGCCCTGGGATCAGCGCGTGTACGAACGGCGAGCAGTGGCAGCGGGCTCAATCGCTGCTCTGCGAGATTTGGGAGGCGAAAGTGGAGCCAAGCGTCATCAGCTACAGCTCTGGGATCAGCGCGTGCACGAAAGACGAGCAGTGGCAGCGGGCTCTATCGCTGCTCTGCGAGATTTGGGAAGTGAGGTTAGAGCCAGATGCCATCAGCTACAACTCCGGGATCAGCGCGTGCGCGAACGGCGAGCAGTGGCAGCAGGCTCTCCCACTGCTCAGCGAGATGTGGGAGGCGAAGGTGGAGCCAAGTGTCATCAGCTACAGTTCTGGGATCAGCGCATGCGCAAGAGGCGAGCAGTGGCAGCGGGTTCTCTCACTGCCCAGCGAGATGGGGGAGGCGAAGGTGGAGCCAGATGCCATCAGCTATAGCTCTGGGATCAGCGCGTGCGCGAAAGACGAGCAGCGGCAGCGGGCTCTATCACTGCTCAGCGGGATGCGGGAAGTGAGATCGGAGCCGAATGTCATCAGCTACAGCTCTGGGATCAGCGCGTGCACGAAAGGCGAGCAGTGGCAGCGGGCTCTATCGCTGTTCTGCGAGATGTGGGAAGTGAGGTCGGAGCCAGATGCCATCAGCTACAACTCTGGGATCAGCCCTGGGATCAGAGCGTGTGCGAACGGCGAGCAGTGGCAGCAGGCTCTTCCGCTGCTCAGCGAGATGCGGGAGGCGAAGGTGGAGCCAAGCGTCATCAGCTACAGCTCTGGGATCAGCGCATGCACGAAAGGCGAGCAGTGGCAGCGGGCTCTATCGCTGCTCTGCGAGATTGGGGAAGTGAGGTTGGAGCCAGATGCCATCAGCTACAACTCTGGGATCAGCGCGTGCGCGAACAGCGAGCAGTGGCAGCAGGCTCTCCCACTGCTCAGCGAGATGTGGGAGCCGAAGGTGGAGCCAAGTGTCATCAGCTACAGTTCTGGGATCAGCGCATGCGCGAGAGGCGAGCAGTGGCAGCGGGCTCTCTCACTGCCCAGCGAGATGTGGGTGGCGAAGGTGGAGCCAGATGCCATCAGCTATAGCTCTGGGATCAGCGCTTGCGCGAAAGACGAGCAGTGGCAACGGGCTCTATCACTGCTCAGCGGGATGTGGGAAGTGAGATCGGAGCCGAATGTCATCAGCTACAGCTCTGGGATCAGCGCGTGTACGGAAGGCGAGCAGTGGCAGCGGGCTCTCTCGCTGCTCTGCGAGATGTGGGAAGTGAGATCGGAGCCAGATGCCATCAGCTACAACTCTGGGATCAGCCCTGGGATCAGAGCGTGTACGAACGGCGAGCAGTGGCAGCAGGCTCTCCCACTGCTCAGCGAGATGCGGGAGGCGAAGGTGGAGCCAAGTGTCATCAGCTACAGCTCTGGGATCAACGCGTGGACGAACGGCGAGCAGTGGCAGCGGGCTCTATCGCTGCTCAGCGAGATGTGGGAGGCGAAGGTGGAGCCAGATGCCATCAGCTATAGCTCTGGGATCAGCGCGTGCGCGAAAGACGAGCAGTGGCAGCGGGCTCTATCACTGCTCAGCGGGATGTGGGAAGTGAGATCGGAGCCGAATGTCATCAGCTACAGCTCTGGGATCAGCGCGTGCACGAAAGGCGAGCAGTGGCAGCGGGCTCTATCGCTGTTCTGCGAGATGTGGGAAGTGAGGTCGGAGCCAGATGCCATCAGCTACAACTCTGGGATCAGCCCTGGGATCAGAGCGTGTGCGAACGGCGAGCAGTGGCAGCAGGCTCTCCCACTGCTCAGCGGGATGCGGGAGGCGAAGGTGGAGCCAAGTGTCATCAGCTACAGCTCTGGGATCAGCGCGTGCACGAACGGCGAGCAGTGGCAGCGGGCTCTCTCGCTGCCCAGCGAGATGAGGGAGGCGAAGGTGGCGCCAAGTGTCATCAGCTACAATGCTGGGATCAGCGCGGGCGAGAAGAGGGGGCAGTGGCAACAGGCATTCGTGCTGCTCAGCGCGATGCTGGACGCGAAGCTGGGACCCGACGTCGTGGGTTACGGCAGGCGGGCAGGGCCGGCGGGCGCTGCGGCCGCGGGCCGCCGGGCTGGGGCAGCTCTGGCGGCCTTCGCGGGCGGCCTTGCCCGGGCACGGAGCGGAGCCGGCCGGGCCAGGGCCTCGAGCGCTCCCGCGGCTCCGAGGCCGAGGCACGCAGGGCGGCTCGGCCGGGCGGGCGGCGGGGCGGCGGCGGCTGGCGGCGCGAAGACCGCGCGGTGGCTGGCGGGCCCGCCGGGCCGCCTAAGGCGACCGCGGGCGTCGGCAGCCCAGCCAGGGGGCCAGCCGGAGGGAGCCAGGTGCAGCGGCCCCTTTCGCTGCGGACTCGGCCAGGGACTGGGACTGGGACTGGGAGAGGAAAAAAAAAAAAAAAAAAAAAAAAAAAAAAAAAAAAAAAAAAAAAAATTGCGAAGACATCTCAAGCGGGAGCGCCGTTCCTGAGCAAATTGCACGGAAGTCTCAGGTGGGAGCGGGGGTCCTCACTAAATTGCGAGGAAGTCTCAGGCGGGAGCGCCGTTCCTGAGTCAATTGCGCGGAAATGTCAGGCAGGAGCGGGGGTCCTGAGTAAAATTCGAAGAAGTCTCAGGCGGGAGCGCCGTTCCCACGTAAATCGCACGGAAGTCTCAGGCGGGGGCGGGGGTCTTGACTACATTGCGAGGAAGTCTCAAATGGGAGCGCCTTTCCTGAGTAAATTGCGCGGAAGTCTCAGGCGGGAGCGGGGGTCCTGAGTAAAAATCGAGGAAGTCTCAGGCGGGAGCCGTTGTTGTTGTAGCCCGGGGGACAGAGGCACAGTTTGAGCAGGAAGACTTTCCTTTAGAAAAAACAAGGTGCGAGCCCCGGGGGTGGCACTTCGATCGAAAAAAATCAAATATGCACCGGTGGGGGGATCAACAATAATTATTCTTCAGAAATGAGAGTCCCACAACAACAACAACAACAACAACAACAACAACAACAACAACAACAACAACAACAACAATAACAGCAGCAGCAGCAACAACAACAACAACAACAGCAACAGCAACAGCAACAGCAACAGCAACAGCAACAGCAACAGCAACAGCAACAACAACAACAACAACAACAACAACAACAACAACAACAACAACACCAACAGCAACAGTTTCAGGCCAAGTACCCGCTTGCCCGGCTTTTAATTGGGGGTGACGGGAACGTGCACCTCACATACGTCGTCTCGCATGCGGTGACCTGCCGCTGCCTGCACTGCTCCCAACGCGGCCCTGACAGAGATATCCAAGCACTGCTGGACAGGGCTAACCTCAGGGCGTTCAACCCCCCCAAGCCGACCCACTCCTCCGGCACGTGCATTGACATTTTTATAGGTTTGCGCGGCGACCCCCTACCTGTCCAGGTGGTGGAAGATTTCATAGCCCTTTCAGATCACAAGCTCGTCCTACTGGATGCGCCCTGTCTGGTCGAGCCGCACTTGGCCGCTGGCTTTGGTCGAGTAGCGTGGACCTCAGGTGCTGAATGGGAGGCCAGCCTCAGTGAGGTTGCGCCAACTTTGGCCGCGCTCGCCCACGCGGTTGAGCTTCTCCTGGAGTCCCAGTGGTTGCGCCCGGCCTGGCACGGAGGCTCGGCCACGAGGCTCCATCGCCGCGCAGTCCTAAATGTGGCTGCATGGTGCCGCGATGCAGTGTACACTATTGTTGGCCATGGCTCAGGAGCTGTCCGCCTTGTCGGGGGACCCGCGAGAGCGAGGGCACCAGCTGCGGTGCCGTTAGCCCCCTCCGCTTTTTCTAGCTTTGCTGACTTTAAACGGGCGACTGAAGAAGCAGCCTGGCAACAGCGTCGGAAGTCGGTGCACCGTTACCTACGCCTCCGGGAAATTAATAAAGGCGCCGCGGAGCGCTTCTTGTCTGGATTTTTCAAGGACGCGGACAGATTTGATATCCAGCTCGTCAGCCCAGTGACAGGGCGCACCCAGTCCACGAGCGAGATGCTCGATGCAATTCAGGCGGACCTGTTGGGGCGCGCTCAGAACGATTTCCCCCAATGCCCTGTGGAGAGGGACCGCATGTCTCGCGTGGTCTCAGGGATCCGGCGCGCAGGAGCCGCGTCCGGGCCCGAACGCGCGCAGCCACTGTACAGCGAGACCGAAGTCGAAGAGGCCATTGCCTTGTTGAAGCTTGGTAAACGGACTGTGCATTTGTGCAACGCAGCGGTGAAGGCGCCAGTTCAAGAGGGTTTCCGCCTAACGCGGGCGCTGTTGAACTTGGGCCGCCGCCTTTGTGTCACGTCTCGCTTCTGGTCTCTCCGGCAGTTTTCACCTCTTCGGAAATCAGGCCCTCCCGTGGTCAGAAAGGTCTCTGCCCTTCGACCCGTGTCCTTCGCCAGCGACATGGCGTCTGTGCAGGACGCTTTGTGGATAGCGCGGAATGGGGCCCTCATTGAGGCATATTGCGGTGCAGCCCAACAGGGCGGGGTTGGAGACCCTGTATCCCAGGTTCTTGCCCTTGTCCTCAATGCGCAGCTACGACGCGCGTTTGACTGCCCAACCTGGTGGGCCATAGCTGACAATAAATGGGCTTTCGATGTCGCCTCGATCGACGGCATGCTCCTCGGTGCATACAGCGCCGGGGTCGAGGGGGCCGATTGGCTCCTCTTGGACGACATCCTGGCCCAAGACCAACAGACAGTGGGGCTCCACGGCCTGCTCTCTCCGGTCTTTTTCTTGAAATGTGGAACTGCCCAAGGTCGTCGCTTCTCCGTGCATATTTTTAACGCGCAGCTACGCGCGCTGCGTGACGAAATCTCGGAAGCACTACCCGGTGGATGCGCTTCCTGCATCCCGCTGCTGATCAGAAGCGCCCTTTTGGATGCGGCCATTGCTACGCCCCCCGCATGTAGGGAAAGCATGCCCTGGCGAGACCTGCCGGTTCAGGAGTTTAAGTCGAGTGTTGCGGGCATCTTAGAGCAGGCGGCCCCCCTTGCGGCGTCTGCTGAAGAGCGGCTCCGTGGCGTCTTCCAACGCCTCCCGGTGGAGGCGGACCGAGTGGCGCTTGCCGAGGCTACAGGGTCTTTCCATTTGCCTCCGGTTCAATTTGTCGACGATATCACCACGCCGTGCCCGTCTGAGGGCGCCGTGCGGGCAGTGATCTCCGATGAGAGCACCTCGGCATGTAGTCGCTATGCGTTCCGCATGAAGTCCTTGTTCACGTATGAGCGTGACAAGACATGCGTTTTGCCCTTGCTTGGTGCCCCGATCCCAGGCCGACCAGGTTGCCCAGTCGTATCTCAGAAACACCTCCTCGGTGTTCTTGTCGATTCAGGGCTGACTTTTGGCCCGCTGCTGAACGAGCTCTGTGCTATCGGCGACTCCTGTTTCAAGAAGTTGCTTTTCGCGGCGGAGAGCGGAGGTTTTTCTGTGCCGGTGGCGGCCGCGCAGGTGCCGCCTCGAGTTGAGGCAGCTGTTCTTTTTGCGTGTCCGCTCCTCGCAGGAGTCCCTGGCGCCGAGGCTCGTTTCAACAAGCTTCAGGTGGGGTGGGGCCGCCGACTGCTGGGATGCCACGGCGGGCCGCCCATCAAGCACGTCGTGGTGGTCGCGCAATGCGGCTGGCGCATGCGAATGGGCACCCGGTTCATCGAGCGTGCGCTCATGGCTCGGGCTCGGCTAACCGTGCTCCCGCCCGACCATCCTGGCGCAATCATGTACCGTGCTTCGCGCGCCCTCTGCGTCCCCACCTGGCTCTCGGACGCAGCGGCGCTGGCTTCCCGCCTGCCAGACCCGCCTCCTGACCTGGATTCTCACCCTTTGTTTCCCCCGGAGGCCCTCCGCGCTGCCCAGCTCGACCCAGCCCGAAGGAAGGTCCTCCTGCGGGAGTATCGGCGCTTTGCCTTGCGCCCGGCACTCCTCAGATACGACCAGCAGGCCTTCGCAGCGGGGGCCTCGCGGGTTTTGCCGAGCCTCAATCGGTCCTTTGCAGCGCTGTGCCCTGGTCCAGCACTCCCCGATGAGGGCATGCTGACCTGGGAGCCGGGGCCCTCCTTTTGGAGGTACTACCGTCTGTGGGCAGTCGCCCGGATGACGGGGGCATGGCCGCTGCCTGTGTTAGGCGAGGTGGAACTCCCAGAAACCATCCCAGTGTGCCGTGCATGCCGCAGGCGCGGTGTCTCGCTCCGGCATGTCCTCGTTCGCTGTCCGGCCTTAGACCGGGCGCGCAAGGCACTGCCAGGTGTGGGGGAGGGCCGCGTTGGGCCGTCCGTCACTCCTGACTTGCTCTTGCAGCTGCTCTTTTGTGAGGGCGCGGAACCTGTGGCCCGTGCCAGCCACATTGTTTTCGTGGGCCGCGCAATCCTGCGCGCGGCCCCCAGGCCGGCCTCCTCCTCCTCCTCCTTTTCCTCCTCCTCCTCCTCCTCCTCCGCCTGCCATTCTTAGCTTGCTGCGTTAGGGCGCGCCGCGCGCCCTTCCATCGCTGCCCCCCTCGCGTGGCTGGTCCGGGGGGCACTGTCCGCCTCTGGCGGGGAGGGCGCCGTGGTCGCCAGGGGGCCTGAGAGGGCCGGGGGCCTTCACGCGCGGTGGCTGTATCAGCAGTGGGATCGCGAAGGGGCGGGCCGCCAAAATGCTTTCATTTCGCTTGTTTGCCCATGTCCCCCCTTGCCCGTCCTCCCGTGGTCTTGCGATCTTGCCCTCTCTCTGTCTCCCTGTCTCTTGCTCTCTCGGTCTCTCTCTCTCTCTCTCTCCGCTGGTCTAGGTAAGTGTCGCTTCCTGTTGATTGATCTGATCTCACGATTGTGTTTCCCCGTCCGTCTCCCTGCTGCTCCCGCCTCCCTTGCTCGTCTGTCTTATTGCTTCCCATAGCGTGTCTTGACACCTCAATGGCCCCTTCAATTGTTGCTTGCGCTCCTTTCTCTTGCATGTCTGACTTGCCTGCCCCCCGTCGACGTCGTCCGCCGCCTGCGTTCTGCGGGCGGGGGGGGAACGTTGGACCCCCCGCGCCACTCGTCACGCACCAGCCGGGGGAGGAAGGGGTGTGAGAGACCACCGCCTTGCCTCCGTCGGCTGGATGGCTCAGACCTGCACCCCTGTGGCAGTCCTGAGTCGCAGCGGCCGCGGGGCCGGGCGCCGGGCGACCGGCGCGCGGACCCGTGGACGGCTGTGTATAAGCGAAATGTGAAATGAACAGCAACAGCAACAGCAACAGCAACAGCAACAGCAACAGCAACAACAACAACAACAACAACAACAACAACAACAACAACAACAACAACAATTACTAGCACGTGGGGACACTCCGTCCTCACCAGTGCCAGGGTTTTCATAGGAGGCGGGCAATACCCCCACTTTGTGGGGGGGCCGGTTCAAGCTCTACCAAATTTCCAAACGACTCTTCGCCACCACCCACACCCAGCTTCCCGCCCTATGACGTTCGGACACTTCACTTCGTGGCATGCGGACGACCGTGGCTACTATTCAGGGCCCCGCGGCCGACGACGACGGCGTGCGCGCGCGAAGAAAAAACGAATGTGTCCCGCATGGTATTATTTGACAGGGATGATGGCCCTGGCAGGTGCGCAACCGTTGTTGCAGAAGTTCGAAAAAGTTGCTCGCAAAAGCCCGTTTGACAGAAATGTTTAAAAAGTGTTGGGTTTCCTACGAATCCGCAAGAGCGCGCGGGATGAGATTTTGACATTTTTTGTTGAAAAAACCATTGGTTTTTTGATGTTTTTATGTTAAAATCGCTCCGAAACTAAGCTTTTGGAAGGATTTCGTCTTGCGCGCGCGAATGTCCACTTTACCTTATTTTTTGCAAGGGATTCTTGAAATTTGATTATATTAGAACAAGAAATGTCATTTTATAGTGTTTTTTGCAAGGGAAAACGGATTACAACAAAACAACCGGATCTGGACCCCATCCACTTTTCTGAAGCTTTCGCGAAAAAATGATGAAAATGTAGCTGCGGCCTAGGCGCGGCGGGGGGGCCGTGCACCAGGGGTCCCAACAATAATTATTCTTTAGAATTAATAATGTTCAACAACAACAACAACAGCAACAACAACAACAACAACAACAACAACAACAACAACAACAACAACAACAACAACAACAACAACAACAACACTCATCTTAAGACTGATCGCTCTTATATGCGCGCGCGTCACTCAATATGTAAATCCCAAACCCTCGATACCCACCCTCTTCGTCTTCGGTCATACCCCTTTGGGGGTATATCTTTATTACTCGCCACGTGTAGTTGGCGCAGCCCCTAAAACAGGAAGAGCAAGGGGAAGGAGGAAGGGAGAGCGAGGAGGAAAAGAGTGGGGGGAGGGAGGGAGGAGGGAAGGGGCAAGGGGGGGAGGATGGATGGAGGACGAAAGAGGTTAGCAGGAGGGGAGGGGGGCAAAAGAGGAGGTAAACAAACGGACGAACCAGACAGACGGGTCGAGCGGCGGACTCTGAGGGGCGGGTCGGGCTGGCGGGGCGGGCGGACGCCAACGGACGGGTCGGGCGGGCGGCGGACCCTCGCTGGCGGGTCGGGCGGGCGGTGGCTTAAAGCGGGCGGGCGAGATGCCAAGAGAGCGAACGGGCGGGCTGTAACAGGCGGATCGGGCGGGCGAAACCTGGCGGGCGGGTGACTAAAGGGTGAATCCTGAATGAATCACGAGGCACACCCTCGATACCCGCCCTCTTAGTATTCGAACGTACCCCCTTTAGGGGGATTATTTCTCTTTGGAAGGGCGGGCGGAGGGACGAGGGAGGAGGGAAGGGAGCAGGGAGGGACGAGGGAGGAGGGAAGATGCTAGGAGGGACGGGACGCGGAGGGGGGAGGACGATTTAGAGGGAGAGAGAGAGAGAGAGGGAGAGAAAGAGAGAGGGGGGAGGAAGGGAGGGAGGAGGGAGTTTGGAGGAGGGACGAGGAAGGAGAGAGGAGAAACAGGAAGGAGGAGGGAGGAGGCAGGAGAGGGCGGGGGTCCGGAGTATTTTATAAGTCTCAGGCGGGAGCGCCTCCGCCTGAGTAAACTGCGAGGAAGTCCCAGGCGGGGGCGGGGGTCCTGAGTAAATTTGGAGGAAGTATCAGGCGGGAGCCGTTGTTGTTGTTGTTGTTGTTGTTGTTGTTGTTGTTGTCCGGGGGGCCAACAACGCAGTTTGATGCCCACGACTTTCCCTGATAAAAACCAGGGTGCAAGCCCCGGAAGGGGCACTTCAATTGAA